AACATAACCATACCGCCAAACCAAACTTTATGCTAAGTATCTATCATTTTGACGATAGTGGTCCTGACAGAACCAGTATTTTTTGTAACCTGGTTAAATCCATAAGCAACTACAAAGGGTATATTTAGGAGCTGGGAAATAAAAGTCAGTGATCCCGAAAAATAACCATGCATTTGTGATTCTCATGTGGATCTTTCAATAATTTTGTAACTTTCTCAGAACCTCTTCTGACTGACCACAGCACTTGTTATCTTGCCAGAGCACAGTGTGTGCAGCTCTTCACAAATATCACAGTTCAGCTCAACTCAATTAAGCGAAGGCCATAGAATGTCACACAGTACTTTCCCACTGTACTAAACACAGAGATGTGAGGGGTCATGAAAGCATGCCACCAGTGGGCTTGGCCTTCAAAGGGGTCACATCTGGCCTTCAAACGGCACGTGAAAACAAACTGAACTGCGGTTGGTCACTTTTCGTGTTGATCTTTCTGCCGAAATGCTCACCTATGCAAGAGTAGGAGGCCTCAGCACAACAGTGTGGTTTTAAAAAATAAGATAACTCAAACCAACGACGAAGATGAATCAATTGCAAATGTCAATCAAGACCTATGGGTGGAGCTTTACAAAGGAAGAGGAACATATATTCTGCTCTGTAGTGATTTGCTATTTTTGTAATATCTTTATATATAAAAATCTGTTCCATTGCACAAACACAATACTGGAGCTCAGAGTTCCACATCATTACCAACCGTCCCTTGGCATCAAAACATCATCTCCGATACACCAAACAATCTAGCAATTTCTACAACCTTGACACCGTTCAGTGAGCATGCCTCAATGGCAGGGCTGTTTTGTTCAGTGGCTAGGGACACGATGTCTCCTCCAAAAAATTTGGATAATTGACAGAACAAAAATAAAACCAGAAAGTAATACAAAATATTACATCAAATGCTGTGTATATCACTCCATTTTGTGAGGTAAGACTGTCCAACAGGAGATAGATGGTGATCTCGTGTAGTTTACATAAAATGTGTTTCTACCACACATACACTACATTTTTACAGACAATAAAACGAAGGCTACAACACTGCCGCTCTGACAGCATCTAAAGTGTAAATGATTTAAGCATGAACACCATTATGGATGAATACATGTTTATGAAAGCTTATTTGTGAATATTGAATTCATTGAACTAATCGGTTCATACTGTTGTATTTATGATCATTGAGATTAGATTGTTTAACGTAGCTGACTCATACTTAATTTAAAATGATAACATTTCGTTCTGTTTTATTTATGGTGCCAACTTTTTTCAAAGGATTACATGTTAAACAAGACTACACATTAAAACCTTAAAATGAATAACATTTCTGCAATTGCTTATCCATTACTTTTATAAGACAACAAAAATACACCAGGTGCACCAGATGGGGGTAATAATGGAATAAGAACAGCACGTTCAAGATTGCCGCCTTCAAGCAACTTTAATCTTCAAATCCAGCACTTGTTACAATTTCTAAATTTCCCAGGAATCATTACGACAAACCGTCAGTGATATCAAATGCTCACTGGTTCATAGCTGCTTTATCACCGATTGCGACATGCCATGTTTTGATTGATGTATGCATTTGAATGAAAAACACGTGCCTTCACGGAGTGAATCGGGATATGATTTCCATCGATCAACAACTTAAATTCTGCTCTGTACCTCACACAACACTGTTGCACAGTTGCAGAGAAGGCTGTGAATACAATACATTGTCATTTTGACTACTTTGGTACTGCTTTTTTATATTTTAGCAATAAGCAATAAAATCTGTCTGTTACATTTTTCTTTATGTATGGTTAGATTTAGAGGTAGGTGTGGGATTAGATTGACTCAAAATTAAAAAGGAAAATTAATTTAATGCTATATTGAAACTAAAATTAGAATTGTAGTTTTCTGCATTGTTTTATATATGCCAAGTTCTGTCACGAAACTCTAGATGGCGCAGGCTGATGGGTCATTAACGCAAATTGATGATATTCACAGCATCAAACTACTTGGCACAAGCTGATTGGTCAATGAGCTTACTGCTTTAGATTCAAATGGCTGGTTAACATTCACTAGAGCAGCTCGCAGCGTGCTTTCAGAATTCCTCTAAAACCCTCCACCTTCCCCAGCTCCACCTGTATAGAATGTTCAAGGGCTGTAAGCCATGAACCAAGCCAAGTAGCTATGAGGAGAATCACAACATTACAAACTTGTATTTGAAGCAAAAAAAGAAAATTTAATTAAATTAAATTAAAATTAAACAAACTGATTTGACTGACTTTTCTGTACAGCATCAAGGGTAATGTAATTTTTCACCATGAATTCCACTATTAAACATGATTTGTTGTAAGTAAGTTGGATTGATGTGAACATATGGATTCAACAAAAGCATATACAACTAATCAACAACCTTCCCAGGTGAAAAAGACGTAGTATTAAATGTATTAAAAATATACTTGAAATTCAAGTAGTATGTTTATAATACATTTGTATTCCCAACATGCTTATTTGAAGTGCAATAAAAGTATATTGAATTGCATTTTAATATATTTCTAAAACGTATACTAGAAGTACTTTTGTTTTAAATATATGCTTAGTTATACTTCTAAGAAATATGTTAAACAGAAGCATACTTTTAATGTATTTATAAAAAGTATACTAGAAATACTTTGGTAATAAATATATGCTTAGTTACACTTTTAAGGAATATGCTAAACACAAGCATACTTTTAGTGACTTTTTAGTGTATTTACAGAAAACATACTTATGTTACCCTTACTTAAAGTATATTTTATATCTACTTTGTGTAAGAACATAACAAAATGATTACACTTTTAGTGGGTTTTTAATGTAGGCTACTTTATATTGCAGTAGGCCTACACATGGTTATATTTTAAATATTTATATATTTATCATTTTAATATTTGGAAAAGTACAATATTTGGAAAAACATTTTTAACATTTACAATGTACAAACGTTTGTCAACTATTATTAAGCATTGCAATATTTAAAATATGTTGTTTAATATGTTGTTCAGTTTTACTTAAAAGGTTATGCTACTTTGGTTGATTAGGCTGTTGTTCATTACATGATACATTAATTGTAATAAGCTAGGTGTTTATAAATTTGTTCAAGCTTGACGCCTTTATTTTCTAATATATATTTCTGAAATTCCCACAAGGATTTCAACATCATATATGAAAAAAACAAAACAAACAAACAAAAAAAACTTGTGTTTACTTGTGTTTAAATTCAAACAAAACACTGACTAAACCTGATTGGTTCCAGAGCCATTGAACGGCTCTGATATCAAACTTAAACATATCTTGAAATACACTTAATATACTTAAAGTTGTTTAAAAATAATAAATTTAATATGCACTTAGTATAGTATCATTTAAATATAGTAAGTATGTCTGAAAAAGCACAATTTAAATATATTTCTTTTTCACCTGGATTGGCACTCACAACAGGTCTGTTTAAAAGTTTAAGAGTTTTTGTTAAAAATCAGTTTCCCTATGGAGAAAATTCATGGAGATTTTACTTCCGCAAACTGACTGTTGCGGTGTTCTGTTGTGTTTGTCTAATGCATTTTGGCTGTTGTTCGAAGCAAACTTTTTATGTAGTGTGCTACTTCCATGTTTCTCTTCAGTCACTTCACTTCACAGTCCGTTCATTCTCAGTATCATTTTAGCAATCCTGCTGTTGGTCGAAATAGCAATAATGCTTCTATCGGCTGTACACGCGAACAAGGTTGAAGTATGATTGCAATTTGTGTTTATACAGATCAATACACAATTAGTTAAGTAACTTACATTTTAGACACACTATTGCTAGTTGATCCTCCAACAAAAATCATCCATCCTGAGAGAATCAGTGTTGTTGAATGAACTGGTTAATAGTTAATGAATCAAATGATTAACCCCTAAAGTCACTTAAAGTGACCAATGCCACCTACTGGTGTGACAATGTAAATAACTTGTAATAAGAATCACTAAAAAATCACCATCAAATGGACTCTTCACAGACTGTGATGATGCATCGCATTTCAACATTTTTTTTACATATTTTTACTGGTTTACGCTGTTTTAATTGAATGGCTGAGCCCAGAGGAAAAAAAAAGTTGTTCAGTGGTTGCTCTTCCTAACCTCAGGAGACTCCGGGTCTCACATTTGTCTCCTCTAAACTATGAATTTATGTTTTTTTTTTCTTCATTTAGTACCTTTCAAATACTTGACTTGGTTCACAGTTTGTACAATTGTTGAGATACCTTCTAAACTTGCGAAGAGACAAATGTGAGAGATCCATAGTCTCTAGCTAAGGAGAAACACAGTGAGCACAGTGTGTGATGTTGTTGAGATCTTGTTTGAAACTTTGGACAAGACAAATATGAGACCCCCCGTTTTTAGTTTAGTAAAAATCGGAGCACAGTGTGTGATGTTGTTGAGATCTCTTCAAAACTTTAGAGAAGACAAATGTGAGAGATCCAGAGTTTGTAGCTGAGGAGAAAAGTGTGAGCACAGTGTATGATTATTATGAGATATCTTCTAAACTTTAAATGAGACCATTGTGAATGTGTAAGCTTTTTTTGTCTCAGGAGACAAGTGTGAGAAGACTCAAGCAAAAGTCTCCATTTGATGTAAAGCAACCTCATTTCTGTTAATATTTGAGATGATATAGAGATCTCATTTTTGATTTCTCTTTCCTCTGGGAGGGAGTGACTGTAAATTTGACGTTTCTCTTTTCTGACCAACGTGATCAATCTCTCGATATTTTTTCCTCTTTTGGAATGTTATAAATTCGCTATTATTATCCAGCTATGAAGACTTCCCTTCTGAGAACCCCGGAAATGTGAAAAGGGTCAATGCACAAAATATTCCACAGTGGACAGTTTTCACATTGCAGCACTTTTCCACAGCAATTAATGTTGTAACTTTTATTTTATTTTATATTTTGATACATTTATCCAAGGACACATGCTTTAAACAATTAGAACATACACAGATAAATAATTTATAATAAACAACATTCCATTAAAAAAAAAAAAAAAAAAAACTTACTGTTGTATCAACTTGCTGTTCTAGCTTAAAATTTCTGTGAATGTAAAAGGCCAAGAGTATATTTGAGGTTTTCTCCAATTGTAATGACCTGCTTTCCCCGCATTTTTATGTTTTTACTACAGTAGTTCACTTAAATGGTCCTGTGGTGTGACAAATGAAGTACATATATTTCATAGTCTCAGTTTATGAGCTCATAAAATCTGTATGCATAATCATTATAACAGAATTCAGTATTGAATGTAAAGTGAGAGAAGCTCCTTAATTGACACTCATACTGAATTCTGTTAGAATTATTTGTATTGTTCACTCCTTACCGATGGTAAAATCACAGTAATGCATGACCTTTTATTAATGAACGGTTATTAAAAAGAAACTATTAATAAGAGCACCTTTACTCACAATAAATTCACTGTGTCCAATCATATTTTAGAAGCAAAACTATCTGTTAAAAAACAATACATTGTATGCAAATGTCAAGAAAAAAGCTTTCATACTTTGCAATTCTGAGCTTTCAAATCATCTGTGGATGCAAATGAGACTGTGCTTGGAATGGCATTTTCAGGATTAATCATAATACCCATTTATTAAGCTTATGCCTAAATACCTGCAACAATGTCTAGACAATAACAGTCAAGTCGAACATTAGAAAAGTTACAGGTCATTACCCAGATTCCAAATTAATGAGGGGAAATCTCATTTCACTCTTATCCTAATCAGAGCGCCTGCCATGGGAACATACTAACCACACACTCCATGTCTGCCTCCGAGGGCATTAGCATTACCCTCCACCGCTACGTCTCTCCCTTTTTATTTGCACTCATCTCTTTCCCCTTGCTTTCCATCTCCCTTGTTCCAGCACAGCTCCCCAGTTCTAATTGAAGTAGTTAATTAACTGAAAAAACACATTAACACCTTTCCAGGCCATTAGGAGATGTGAAAGAGGGTGTGTGAGGGAGCGTGCGGAAACACTCGGCCGAAGAGCATAATTTTCCTCTCTCTCTCTCTCTCTCTCTCTCTCTCTTCTGCTCTCTCGTCCTCTCGCTGTCACCGTGGAGACCGTTGAAGGGATGGGGGGTGGCCACAGGTGTGCAGGTGCGAAGCTGAACTCAGTCACTCAGACGCTGTTAATTTGTTTTTGTCTCATCAAAGCGGCTCTGAGTCTGGGGAGGACAGAAAAATACTTATTGTCCACAATAAAACGAAGCATAATTTGAAATGTGTTTTATGTGGCATTTAATGGCAAATACAGATGTGGAATATATAATTTATCTCAGGAAATTATGGTACTAATACATCTCTGAGAGAATAAACAGCAACTTACTAAGACTGCGACGACTAAAAAAAAATACATCAGATTATGAATTTATTCATTTGTAGTGATGCTGACCTCAAATGCTTCCACACACATCTCTCATTATTACCACAGCAGAATAACAAGCAGTAGGGAAAATCACATATCTCTATATACATTCATATACATTCCCAACAAATGCTATTGGAAAAACATGCCTCTACCTATTTGCAAAATGTAGATATATATTAAATTCACTGCAGTTTTTAGTTAAAATAAACAGTGGCGTTAAGATCTCAAATACCTTTATTCCTTTTCACACAAATTATGATTGCATAGTCAGGTAATTGATTTATAAAGGCTTATTTTCATGTAGTTCCTTATACAATACCTCAATATGACCTAAAAATACTTTTACTTTAATGCATGATTTGTAAATAGATATATTTTGATATTTACATTATATAACTAGCTCCATTTGGCTTTTCTTACACAACCTAGAAAACTTGCTCAGTAGCTCACCTGGTACAGCACTGCACTTATAATGTGGAGTGCTCAGGTATGATTCCTGTGAAAGACGAGTCAAAACAATGGATAAAAGAAAGAACTCAAAATCTGGTAGATGTAAGCTAAAATGACACGGTTGCTTTTGTTTACACTATCGATTAGGTTTAGCGTAGAGAGTTTAGTGTAGGTGGTATGTTATTTTCAAATGCGATAGAGCATCAACCTTTTTACACCACTCACCAGATATTTAATTTCTGAACTGCCACAATATGTACAACAACCAAAGTAATAAAACATCGCCAGATTCACCTGTTTCTGGGAAAATTTAACTTGTGCTGCAAAGTGTGCAAGAAACAGTGTATTATCATTTTGGAGAAATGTCCCTACAGGCACATTTTTACAAGGAATCTGGGTTGAACTTTCTCTTGATGAATTGTTTCTGTTTAGATAGCAGTAATGTGTCTCTTCTAGAGCAAGAAGAGTCTTGAACTGTGCTCAGGTCAGTAAAGATCCCAGAGTCTGCAATCAAAAGATCTCAGGATGTTCACAAACATTTGGAAGCCTGTTTCCACCACTGAATAAAAAATAAAAAAAATGTAATTCCGTCTTTTTCTTACAATTCTGACTTTTTTTCTCGCAATTGTGAGTTGACATCTGGCAATTCAGATTTATTCTCAGAATTGCATAACATAAACTCACAATTCTGACTTTTACATTTTTTTTTTCAGAATTGCAATATATAGTCATATATAGTCATAGAGTCAGAATTGACCCTTCGCATGGAGTTTGACCAATTTGAGCGATTTGACCAATCATAACGCCGAATCTGCCATTTTTGTCCAACAAACAAACAAGACAGGAGAGTAGATTAATGTCGGTCGACTTCTACTTGAAAAAATGGTGTGTATTGACATCTTTCCGCATTGAAATACAAGACACCTTCTGATGTTCATTTATGTTTATTTCATGCTTTAACTAGTAAAGAGGAAGAGATGTTGGGTTTATGTGCCACTTGAAATGAAGCACAACAGTGATCTGTCATGACACATTACAGAGCCACAAAACAGTATTTATTGTTTGAATTTATATAAAAAAAAAAAAAGACAACATTTTAAAGCTGAGACTTTGTTTCATACTTAAAAAACCCTGCTCTGTTTTGTTTTTGTCAGCACGTTGTAGGGTTTGCACCGACTAATTGACTAGTCGACTTCAATGCTCTGCCATGACGCTTTAAGCTTGACGTCGACTAGTCGCTGGTCCTATAGAGGGCGCAACAGGATAAGAAATCTTTGAAGGACTTCCACATTTACGCTCAGTTTCCAAACAGTTCAAATGACAAATAAATGCATACTCTGAAAGCGCTCCACAAGACATGTGTGATTATATTACTGGATGCTCGAAATTGAACGGGAGAATGCACATTTTAAACAGCTTATTGTACAGGTACGTTAATCGCCGTTCTAATCTAATGCACTGCTGCACTGTAACGCACACACATAGGCTACAGACAGTAGCGCGTACATCACGCACACAGAATCATTCAGCGCGGAAATGTATTGTCAACACTGTTCTGTGATTTCTCAATAAAATAGCTTAGAAACTGAAAAGTTCAAGCATATATTTCTTAATAACTTAATAACTTTCTTAATCTGTATCTGATTTAGAATGAGCAAAAATCTGTGAGAAATAAAATGACCCAAAGACAAAAGAACTGATAAAAAAGCTGTTATAGGAGCAACAGCCATGTGGGCAGCGCTGTGTCATATGCCATAGCTGTGCACAAGGTGTTTGTCACAGCTCCAGACTTATTTGTTCATTAATGACGTCATCAGCGACTAGTCGACTTCGACTCGACTTTCATCACATAAAAGTCGACTTCAAAAAATCCGATGTCGTTCAACCCCTAGCGTTTTGTCAGTTTCCTCTTTATATACAGTATATATATAAGCAAAATATTAGGCCTACCCAATATAAATATTACCCCAAAAAATTGTATTCACTATGTCCTGTCTTTCATGGGATACAAGATGAAGAATATTCATGCTGATTTTTTTTTTTTTTTAAAGAAAGAAATTGAATGGTGACCAGGCTGTCAAGCTCCTCATATGACAAACAGCACCATAAAATTATCATAAAGATAGACTGTATTACTCATGCACTATATAGCTTTGTGTGAGGAGCAGACTGATATTTAAGTCATTATTCACTGGTATTCTTCCCTTCACCACAGCTCTCAAATCTTATTCATGTTTCTGTATATTCATAAATGCCAGGATTAATGTCAATGTTTGGTTCTCACGTCTCATAACCAGTCATGATGCACCATATACGAATATGCACATATTTAAATTGCACAAATTAAACTTTCTCTGAATACTTACATTTCTTTCAGTTTCTCTGACTTCAGAAGACTTGTAATATAATGCGTGAGTCATGTAGACTACTATTATGGTTCTTTTATGGTGCTTTGATAGAGTTTGGCAGCCTCTGGTTACCTTCCACCTACACTATATGTAAAAGAGCTGTTTGAACCTCCTGCCAAACATCTGCTTGCGTTTTGAAGTAATAAAATCATACAGCTTTGTTGTGACATAAAGGTGAATAAATAACAACAATCATTTTCATTTTTGGTACTCCTTACAGCTTCGGTAGAATGAAATCGCAATAAAATGTTACTCTGGGAAGACCAGTGAGCCTTGCAGCTGCATGGAAGGAGGTAGGATCTTGACAAAGATAGAGACAGTTGCTGGTTGTCAGGAAAAATAGAGGAAGCACACACACACATTCAGACCAAGAACTATCGGCTACTGTTAATGACAGAGATAAAGATAAAGCATCCATAAACGGCTCTGTCGGACCGGGGCAGAGAGCACGGTAGCATTAGAATGCACTGCTTGTTTGGTGCGCTGCCCAGTACCAGCTCACCAGTGGAACCGATGGGCAGTGACATCCTCACATCCACACACAGTCATTCACTTATCAACCCCCTCCTCGTCCTCGGCTTAAACAGACCAGCCTTTCTCACAACCTTCACACAATGGTCTGAGTGTACCAAACCCAGCGGAGAGACTCAGAGTGTGTGTGAAACAGAAAGACATAAATGCAGATTTGGGTGTGCGTCTTGCAAACAAAACAAAGAAAGGCCTTTCACTTCTTTCCTGGCCTCTTTGAAATGCCTGGCATGATTCGGATGAGTCTTTTCTCATTTTACGTGGCCAAATTCACATTGTAAACCTTTGCTCCTCCTTGTCGTGGGGGTATTCCCATAAGAATGATCAATAATAAGAATAATTTTCTGAGATTAAACTGAGAGCAACTGGAGACTCGTTCTTCTCTAATTTTTTCTTCTTCTTCGATTAATCGCATACAAAATAAAAGTTTTTGTTTGCATAATGTATGTGTGTGTTCTGTGTATATTTATTATGTATACATAAATACAGACACATACAGTATATATTTTGAAAATATTTGCATGTATTCACATGCCTATATTTATATTCATATAATTTATATTATAAATAAATAAATATATTTAATATATAAACAACCTATTTTTCTGAAATATATACATGCATGTGTGTGTATTTATATATGCATAATAAATATACACAGCACACATACATATATTATGTAAACAAAAACTTTTATTTTGGATGCGATTAATCGTTTGACAGCACTAGTTTATATACTTATACTTTGTCAGCTGCCTGATTTGATTATTCTGTCGGGAGAGAGAGAAGCCGCAGCGTGTGAACGCGCCGCCAACAAAGAGCAGGGTGCTTCCTACCTCTTTTCCTCTTTTGTCTCCTGCTTTGTATTCGTCCCTTCCACTTCAGCATTCCAAAATCTGGATCAAAATGCAGATTTCCACAAGCCAGTTCCATAATGAGAATGTTCTGTTTAATTTAGAGTCGTCCTATTGCATCTCCTGTCTCTCTCTCTCTGACAAGATAGAAACCCCCCTCCTCAATTTCCCACTTCTAGTCTAATCCCTCAGACACACAGCATGTGTAGCATCCCGATCGTTACACAAACCTTTAAAACGGTTACTCTGTGTTTTGCACAGCAGGGGCTTCAGGCCCATTTAAAGAAAACAGGGAAATCAATATTTCTTATTAGGATTCCCTGCTGATGTGCCTGAGGCACTCTGTTCTTTCAACTTTTCCTTTCTATTTTCTATTCTCCTGCTAACTCTTTTTTCCCAATGCTATTTTTCTCTTGTGTCAGTGATAGAAATATTTATGCATCTTTGCATAATTTCTATTTTAATGCTTCCCAAATATTGACATGGAACTAGTTGTTCATGGATTCCAGTGTTATATTCCAAGCTATGGATATAGTGCTGTCAGTCTGTATTTGAAGCAATGTCGTGTGGTTGAATACAAATCTTCCATTTAAATAAAAATCCGACTTGCTTC